GGCGGAAGTGGAGAAGGCGGCGCAATAGCCGGCACCTCCAGACGCTCGTCTGTGCATCTGTTCTGAGAGCGCGCAATGCCGGGACCGCGAACGTTGGGAGGGACGAGGATCGTTGTTGGGGAGGAAGGCGATGCGGGGGCTGTTGGGACTATGTTCTACATAATCGCTTGTTAGAAGGGGAAAAAGTTGCATATATGCGCGAAAAAGACCTACTTCCTTGTCGTCATCGGGAACTGATCTCAAAGACGCGGCTCTTCTTAGGCTTGCAGATGTTTCAGCGAGGTTTGTTCTCAGACGCGTGTGCGTCGAGGTGCGCGTGAGGATCTTTGGTCGCTTACGCGGAGGCTCGGAGTCGTGTTCTCCCTCCCTCGGGACTGTGCTCGTGTTGGACCGCGGACAAAAGTATGACGACGCACGGTGGATGATACGGGAGCTGAATCCAGGTTTCGCTTTTCTGTTTATAGGTGAATGTATGCGCGGTAGAGGAGAGCTCTGAGACAAGGATGGGGCAAAGACAATTGGACTGAGATCTAAGAATGGAGACGCGCTCATTTCAGTGTCAGAGTCGAAAGAGATAGAGCTAGTGCGAGAGACGGAACAAGAGTCTGGTTCAATATCTGTCTCGGTCTCAGTGCCAGTCGACGAAGCATAGAAAGACAAAGTCCGCGAGTCAAACGTCGCCTGGAATGAATTAATAAAGTCTTTAGCTTCAGCATCTGCACAAGGCGCCGTGTTGTCCTCTTCCTGGCGACGTTTCTCGACATCACCAAGCAGCTCTGTCAGACGGCGCGTGAAGACTTGGTCTGTAACACAAGAGCCGTTTTCGCTAAGTTCTAGCCCGACATTGGAACTGACGGTGGTCGTACTCCCGTCTGACCACGACGGCGAGCTAGATGAGACGGGGCCTGGAGGCGTGCTGGAGAACGTAAAGCCCGGTGGGGGACTAGAGGATTCCAAAGAGACGTCGTAAGGGCTCAGTAGCGCCTCGGGTGGGCTTGAGCTTGCCATCGTTCTATGTTGAAAGAAAAGAGCAGGAGACGAGTTCTGCAAATACCCGTCCATTCTGGAAACTTGCGCCTATCTATCTACAATCATTTTCGATCCAACAATTCTCTGCTAGTATATCGGTGAGTACACGCGCCTGTCATGTCAATTCTGTTCCAAAGTGCGGTCGCGCGAAAGCTGGGTTCGACTCCCAGGCAGAGAGTTTGACATTCATTTTGGCCTGTCACAGGAAGTGTGACTGAGTCTACTCATGTACGCGACGTCATAACACAAGGGATCCATCGCGGCTCTCCCCACAGACAGCGAAATCACTGACTACACGATTACTTGCCTAGGAAATAGGTATCCAGCTAATTATATATAGGGAACAAGCGGAAGAAAATGACTGCCACCAAGGACAGGGAAATTTTGCCCGCTGACGATTTCGTCAACCTATCGAAAGCTTCGAAGACATTACAACAATCCACACTGACTCTAATCTCACTCTCAAAAGAGCCAAATTAATGCATAGCGGCAGCAACGGTGTGATTTCAGACAACAAAATACGGGCGCTCAAGGTCTTTGGCATTGCCAGAGCGCTCGCCACCCGCTTCCGCAGCACGCCGCACCACTCCTATGCGATGGCGGTTACCTCTCACTCTGGCATGCTCTGGGCTCAATGGTCTATCCAGAGCCCGAATGGTACCGGGGAGAGCAGTGACATTCGCACCTGCCTGCGTGACTCGCTGGACTGGGTCCTCAGGTGCGGCACCGTTCGTGACAGCGACTCGGCCAATACGCACACGTGCCTGTGCCCTGTGATGGCCTACCTACAACTCATTCTCCGGCACACACCTATGGAGGACTGGGCAGCCGCCTTGACCAACCCAAATGCATCGCCACTGGGCTTTGCGTGGGCATGGGCACGTAGGAGCGCCTGGATCGGGAAGCAGACGGCTGACGAGTCGTCGCGCTTGTAACCATGGAGCGCCACATCCATCGATTGATGGCTCGTGAACTGGTGAGGGCCGAGCAGAGGAGGTTGGATGCCACATTTGACATCATAATCCTCACCGATGGGTTCAGGGCCGCACCCCGAGGGATGGCCGAAGATTGCTTCACGAGGTTAGCCAACTGGCTGCGGAAGCCGCCGTCAGACTTTGACAGCTACAGCCGCGAGCTCGAGGCTAGTAACGCCAAGGAATTAATGGAGAGTATACAGGATGCGGCGGAAAAGCTGGGCGAGGAAGGGGAGTGGTACGCTTGTGTGATAAAGATAGAAATCCGACGGAGAAAGTTTTTGAAGGAGCCATTTTCTCCAATGAGCTATGCCTTCTGGCGGGTATGGTTCACTAAAAGCTGACTGTCCAACGTTTTTTTTTTGTTTTAAAACATACGTCAAAATACAAGAAAGGAAACAAAATTAGTACATTCATTTATACTTTTTGTATTTTTACATTTCGTATTCGTAAAGTATGAGGAGCGAGGAAAACATAGCGTCAACACTGGCTTTCATGGTCCAAGCTTCCAGCAAGACACTAAACTAATTGGGAGAATATCCGATCAATTAATGTGTTGGTGAACTTTACAACAATGGGGGACATACCGGGGCATGGCTAATGAATGCATTCATAAAGTCGTCAGCGGACTTCTTCATGGTGGCAAGGTCCTGTTTGATAAGCGGTTGGACGTCTTTAATCTGCCCAATGGCTGGCTTGCGTGTCGTTATACCCGTCAGCGCCTCCAAGAAGCTGGGTTCCAGATAATGGAGATAGTCAAAGAGGTCCTGAGCCTCAGCATCAGAGAATTTAGAAGCAATTGCCTTGAGCCAAAGGATATGATCAGAATATGGGGAGAGAAAGATTAGAAAAGGAGCGCCCAACATTGATATCACTTGTCGTATTGGCAATAACTTCGTTGAGAGCACTGGCGGATGAGTGGATAGCCTATTGTGAGGGATTAAGGACATGATCACACTC